GTTGTACAAGGACGGTCTGTTTCCATGTCCGTGATAAACGTCATGAATGTCTGCTACACGCTAATTTATAGTTCGTAGTCTGTAAATTTCCTGCTGTCAAGCCCCATAGATATTTTACGGCCCAGAGACTACGAACTCAGTCTCGATCCGTACTCATGATCGGAGCAGCGACTACGCCGTCGGAGCTGCTGATCGACAAGTACATGGCCTGTATGTAAGTCGACAGTTCCCCCAAAGTTACGAGCACCATTAATAATGTTGTAAACCTGTGATTCAGGCACGAATAACAACTTAGTCGTGGTCACGATGACCTTCGGCGTCCAGTGTCAGTGATGAGGACAGATGGCGCCCGTCACAGTCCAAGAAACCATACATCCCTTACGTACTATCCTGGACCATTATCCAGGCTCTGTGCCGCATAGCCTGCACTGCAGCTTGCCAGGACCAAAGTTGGGCCGAGCTGATCAAAGTAGTACGGCCAGAGAGCCGCTGATCTTATCAAAACGTACAACGTACAGCCAACCGCGAATTTAAGGATATCAAAGCGTAGCGCGCTATACTTGTGTGCTCAGTCGCCCGCTTTGCGACTACAGTCGCGTGCCTTCCCGTGATAATGGGAAGGTAAGTTGGAATTCAAGCGGCAGTGCATACTCAAACTTTTAAGGCTGATGAAATTAAGGGCTATCTCGACCGCCGACTGGTTTATTTATATGAGTTTGCCGTGATTTCGGCTGAAACCCATCCATGGGTATACCGAACAAATCCTGCGATGTCGAGGTCTACAAGGGGCGCCACCGCCTACGGTAGCACGACTAACGCGTACGGCGGCTCCGGGGCGTCAACAGTCTAGCGCCAGAAATCTTTCATCAAACAAGACCACAGCCAAGAACGCACCTTTCGATACTGGTGTACACGCGACAAACACGCAGCATCAACCCGCAAGCGCGAACAAAGAGTTGGCGGTCATCAGTACAATTTCTATTCGAAGCCCGCGGTCATGCCGTGAACTCCACGCGGTGTGGCGCTGAGTGTCCTTGTTTTAGGCTGCAATATACAGAACCCGAATATTGAGTTGGCATGCTTGAAGCTTGAAGCCTGGTGGAAGGACGAAGCAAAACGTTGCTTGAGCCATGGTCTTACGGACCGCAGATATTTCGAAGACGTAATGAATTCCGAGAGAAGGCGGAAGCAAAGTGATAAACAAGTCACATAGACCGTACGTACGACTGTGTGTATGTACAGCAAGGGTTCGTGGCGGTAAGGTCATTCGAAAGGGAAGGCAGATGACTGGGGCAATGGAAACGGAAGGAAAAGGCGATGAGCACATGAGTTTGAGCCAGCGGATATTAAAGGCATGCGTTGCCAATGGAAGATTCGTACAATTACAAGGTGGAAAAAGATAAGATGTTTTCGCATTCGCGTGGGGTTGATAAGTATGCTCGCGGCAAGAAACGAGGAAAACATGCGTTCTATAGTTTATTCTTGTCCGAACCCGACGGTCTCTCTGCAAAAAAAAAAGAAGTGATTCACAAGTCAGTGCAAAGTCAAAGAAGATGAAGACCACATGTACGCACTCGACCGCAAGCGTGAGCTTCTGTTCGAGCGTCGCATAATCCTTGTACGGCGGAAGGTCTATGCGGTTGAAGCACGTGTGACTCTTGGGCAGCTGGCTTGGATCGCCCGACTTCTCGATCGTGAACCGCCGGGGGCCATCTGAGCCCTGTAGGTCCTTGAAGCCGTTTACAGGGATTCGCGACGTGCCCGTCGCGAACTGCAGCAGGCGCGACTTGCGCTCCGGCGGCCAGCTCCGGACGCACTTCCAGAACCACTGCACGACCTCGTCGTTGACCTCGTAGCCGCGGTAGTCCGTGAACTTGGCCCAGTCGTCGCTGCAGCGATGCCGTTAATTGACTTCGAATTTTGGGGGTGATGAATGACACTTACACATCGATTTCAGACATACCGCCGATGAGCAGCTCGAGTTCGCGCTCGTCAAAGACGTTAATAAGATCTTGCGGGATCAGCTCGCTAAAGCCCGACATGAACGCCTCGAACTGCTCCTTCACACGACGGGAAATACGGTATTCGACGACGCAGTTGACATATTCTTTCTTGTTGTCCTCGGTGACAGGGACGTCGGCTCCACCGGCTTTAAGCTCGACAGTGACCATCTCACCGAAGCGCTCCTCAGTCGTCGTGAACGTCTCGTCGATGACATCGGTGATATCATTTTCGCTAACAGACATGTCAACACGGGTGCATTAAATGACAGTCAGCTGGACTTACAGCATCCATGTGAGACCACGGTGCAGCTCGGCATCCACACTTTCGAGGTCCGCCAACGTGACCTTCTTCTTCAGGATCATCTTGTAGAACGCGGTGATGAAGTAGGCATCAAGGAAACGGCGGTGGAAGATACCGAGACCCAAGCAGCGACCGATGAACTTGAAGTAGTTCAAGTGCTCGGGGTTGACACCAGACGCTGGGTTTATTTGCAACGTGTAGTTGTCGTGCGCCGAGTACTCGAACAAGCAATAGAAGGGGTTGAACATCTCGTGAGAGAGCAGGAAGAAGAATTCACTGGACCGACGCCGTTCAACGTTTCACACGACGATCAAAAAGAAAAGTTACACACCGAGAAAGACCGCCGTAGTCCAGACCGTCCTCACCGTCGAACTTGATCATGAGCCGCTTCTTCAGATCATTGGGTGTTTGCCTCATGATCTCTGCGTAACTATCCTCAAAGATGTGGTTGCGGCGGACCTTGATCTGGCAGTTGCCCGGCTGTGCACGCATGGCGGGCTGGCTCCTGAAGTAGATGAGCTTGCGCCGGAAGTCCCGCTTGTACTGCGGCACGTTGGCGTCGAGCGTCGATGGCAGGCGCGGGTCGTCCCACGTCGTCGTCTTCGTGTTGTGATCCACGAAGTACACGCGCGCGGTCGACGTGAGCCGCATCTCCCAGCCAGACGGCAAGGGACCCAGCTGCGAGATCGTCTGCGGCTGCAGCGCCGTGTTCTGTCCGTTCGGGCCCATGACGCGGATGATCGTCTGGCGCCGGGGGTCGACCCATGTTGTCGTCCGCGTGTTGTGGTCGACGTAATACGGGCGGCCCTCGGGCGTGTAGCGCTCCTCCCAGCCTGCGGGGAGGGGACCCGCGCCCGCAGTCGTCGTGTTGTTGCTGGCGGCAAGCGCAGCCTGTGCCGTGTTTGTGGGAGCGACGGAAGGCGCCCGACCCACGCCGGCCTCCAGCATGTCGTCTGCCAGGATACGGCGGTTGTGCTGATTGCGCGCAGCGTTGGTGTCGCCCTCTTGTGCGTGAGTGTTGGCGGTCTGGTTGGCCGAGGGTCTGTTCCAAGTCGTGCTGCGAGTGTTGTGATCGACGTAGTATGTGCGACCGAGAGGATCAATGCGGCGTTCCCAGCCCTGAGGGAGAGGGCCGTATTGGTCTTCGTGCGGATCGAAGCCTCGCATCTGGGCGTTGTTGGTAGAGGCCGTCTGAGCGTTCGCAGAGGCGTTCGTGGCCGTCTGTGGCTGAGGGGAAGGCTGAGTGACGCCGGGAACGGAACCGGTCGACACCGGGCGAGGACTCGTGCTGGCCTGCTGCGAAGCATGCGCTTCAGGCTCGGCAGGAGTGGCTGCAGCTGGGATCGTTGGCGTAGGCATACTGATACGAGCGTTATCAGGAGAGTTGGCAGTGGCTGAAGAAGTACGGGAAAGGGAGGTATTCGGTTGGGCGGTTGGGCTGAGTGTACTGCCGCTGGGAGTAATTGAAACTGACGAGTTGTCGAGATTGAGAGCGCCGAGTTGACTGGTAGCAGCATCCGTAGAAGAAGGATTGTTTATGGGTTGGCTGATGTTCGTAGACAGATAAACAATCAGCTTTCCATGCACTACAAGATTATCGTTGGATTTCTTGAGGTCGAGCGTCAACATCTCTATAGGCGGCATGGATGAGCTGCGGATGAGTAAGAGGCAAAGGACGCACCATGACCACCGAGCTCCAGGTCGAGGTGGTCACCGACACGAATGTTAACTACACCGAGGAAGCCCTGGTCCCGCTTCTTGAACTTCCTCTGGTCGAAGATCTGAACAGCAATGACCGAAGATTCCTTGACCGTACTGAGTGGTGCAAAATTGATGGGTTCATTGCAAAGCGTCCAGAGGGCTGAAACCGGACTCACATATCGAAGCTCTCATTCCAGTAAGGGTTCAGTGTCTTCTTGATGACACTCGTAGTGTGCGTTTGCTCAGCATCAACAGTGATGACGGCGAACGGGTCAGGCAGGCGAAAGACCTCGCGCTTGGACAAGCCATCGGCCGCGACGACTGTGCATCATTTAGGTCAGGGTTTCATGGGCACAGACGACAGAGAACGAACCAGTGATCCTAATCTTTTTACTGGTGAATTACCAAGTAAGCAAGGGAGACGGAGGCGAGCGACGGTGGACGTACGGTGCGCCCTGAGAGGCGGACATGGCCTGAGACAGAAGTGCTGCTTTCTAAAGCGCAAAACTGAGGACGAGATGTCGGAAAGAGGCTGCTCGGGGATGGGAAGGACGACGAAGAGAGAGAGGAGCACGACGAGGAAGAGGTTCGGGCAGAAGATGAGAGACGACAGATGACCAACCGACTCCAGGCGCTAAGATACACAGCTTGCCCTTTTTCGGCACCAGCTAAAACGGTCGCACTGTTATTTGACCACTGGTCAGACGACCTGGAAGCAACAATAGGGGTAGCACAATATAGGACTCGCCAGTTCAATGCCCTGCAGGGAATTCTTGAACGACTGTGTGGCAAAGAGTATTTGGAGTACGCCTAGCCAGGAGCGGCTGCGCTCGGCTAGCGCATCGCATCAAGCGCTTAACGGGATACTTCGTTCGAACCCGTGCCCTATCACCTCATTTTATGACTGCAAAGTTGGATATTTTTTGAAAGGGCCAAAAACATTTTATAGCTGCAACTTATAAGGAGAAGAAAAAATATTTAGACTAAGCTCTAGACGACGCCAGCAGGACTCGAACCTGCGCCCCGAAACGGGAATTGATAGACTAACTCGATAATTCTAATCAATCGCCTTAACCACTTGGCTATAGCGCCTTAGGACAAATGGGTAATGGAAGATATATCGATGCAATGCATCGCAAACGAAAATGCAAAAGTGATTACGGTCTTCGAATCGCCTCTCTAATAATATTTATTCCACCTGACGAGAGCACTCTCCTTCACTATGGGAATTATTGTAATTTGTCGCCGTTCACAGGCGTCGTGCGGCGCGCGCGTGGCTGGGCGCGGTGATTGTTTTGGTTTGTTTTGATGCGCGACTGGGTACAAAAGGCGCGGCTGGCGAACTTGTTCTCTTCGTCTGCCTCTGTCTGCCATCCTCGCACCACCATCCACCGTCTTCTTCATCGGCGTGCTCGCATCCTATCGTCTTCTCGTTGCTGACCTGCCGATATCACTCAACGCTCCGTGATCCCTGTCTACGTCGCTTCCCCCCGCCATCCACGCTGCTCTGCCTGCCTTCAGCCAACACGACCACTCTCTAACCCGGAGTGTGTTTAACCCTAACGGACCTTCAAGCTCGTACACGTTTTTATTCTGCTCGGGCATTTGTTGTATCGGAACTGCCATCCTATGGGCGATAGGAGTCCTCTCGTTTTGGTTCGCTGGCCACCTGAACCTCGTGGTGTCGCGTTCCTATCCTCATCGTCGCACCGACTCACTCACTCCCAATGACTCTCTGCGGGCCTGTCAACAGGTGTCTTCGGAAAGCATATCGTGCTGTCACCGCTCCATCGTCACTACACACACAAACCGCCGCTAGCGCGTCCATCGGGGCCCTAATTTTGGTACGCATGGCCTGAATCACGTACACGCATAGAAAGTTCCTACACTTTCCTACGTGCAAGGCCTGCAGAACTACTAGGGGAGGACGCGTCGGAACGCGTGCGGTCGCGTAGTTTTCGATGGGTTGCGCGCTGTAACACGGTGTGCCAGAGACGCCTTTCCGCGGTCAATATGGCACCACCCGCACAGACGAGGGAGCCACGAACAGTCGCACGATGTACAGGAAAACGGTCACGCAGATCTGGGCTACATACAGACCCCATGCGGGTCATCTGCTCTTCACAATCGCTACTTCATAACACCATTTGATTCTTGCGGCCCATTCGTCAAAGGCAACCTCGACGAGAAGAGACCTCGGTTCCCAGACACATCTGCCTTTAACGAGCTCCCGTACAAGACGTGTGCAAGCCGAGTCTTTGACTCACCTTCCCGGGCGCGCGGTCACAGGGCCACACGTCCAACCCCGGCGGCGTTTGACGCGGCTTTCCGCCCGCCGCAGGCTGCTCTGCGTCGTGCGCTGCGCCCTTCCCAGGTGCAGCAACGGCGCGGAGATAGGAGTCTGGAAGCGCCGGCGTGCGCAGCGAAATCCGCATCGGCTACGCGGGCAGCAGCAGTATGGGCTCCATGGCGGTATCGGGATGCGCGTGGACACATAAGGGGACGCACAGGCAGGCGGCGGCGAAGGATGACTAGGGTGCAGGGTCGCGGAGGCGGTGAAGGCGCAAGGTGCGTTTGGCTTAGGATTGAGCTGACCATGGGCCTGGAAGCTCAGGCTGGCGGCGCGCAGCGCGGCCCCCAATTCCTGCCCTTCCGTTGACTGACAATACAGGAAGGCGGGCGGCGTCCACCCGCCGCGCGGTAGTAATCAGCTCTCACTCTTGTTCGACCGTTCCTGACCACCGTGTGCGGGCGTGCGGCCGCGCGTTGGGCGTGTGTCTGCGCCATCCTGGGCGGGCACGCCGTCCGAAGCGGTCCAACCCACGTCGTTCGTTATTCAGCCCTTGGTTTCGATTCGGTTCGAATATTAGGTGCGCCAAGACCCGTCGGGATGCCCAAGTGCCCAAACGCAGCCGCTCTTCTCGCGCCCTGTCCGCCGGGAACAGCTCGTCTCCCGTCGTATGCGCCCCTGGAGTGCCGATGACCCGCCAGACCGTGAAAGCTCGTCCGGCACGGCCCACCTGCAAAGGCCGCGCGTGCGCGGTGCGCTCGGTCCCTCAGGCTCCCGCCGAAGTCGCGTCGTCCTGCGGGAGGGCGCGACATGAGATTCGTCTCGGGTTCGGCGGGGGTAGACGTCCCCCACCGTGTGTGCGGGCGTGTAGTGCGACCAGACCCGCGCGCGTGCGGGCCCTGGCAGGTGTGAGCTGGCTGGACGGGTCTCCCCTACCTTTAGGCGGGGAGCGTCGGTCTCGCGATGAGGCGTCTGGAGGTAAGTATGACCAAGGCGAGTGGCGGGCAGGGTGCACGAACAGGAAGACGGCAGTGTGTGGGTGCGTGGGTGTCCTGGCGGCGAGCGGCCTGGCTGTACGCGCGCCGTGTCTCGTCGCACGGCGCGCGAGAAGACGTGGGAGGGGCTGTGGAAGACGGCGTTTGCTCAGGCGACACGCGTCTCCGCCGCCAATATGCACGCTCCTTGGCCTTTCACGAGGTGCGCACGGATGGGATGACGGACGGACGGACGGGAGTGGCGGAGGACCCGAAGCCTAGAGCACTAGGGCGATCCATGGAGCAAGGGCTGGCCGAACTCGCGCGGTGCGACGTATGTTGGTCCCTGGGCTTCGTGCGCAGGGATGGTGTCGCATGTGGGGGAAGGCGGCGTCGGTCCAGCTGCTTTCGAGAGCGTGCTGCGTCGCCGTCATGCTTATGGGCTTCCACAATTTTTTCCTTATGCACTTTCGCAGTGCTTGTTTACTACCGAGGGATCCCAGGCCAGGGTGTCGTAGCAAACAGTCGGAAGAGGTATACAGCACTCGACGTCAAACGTGTATCATTCCGCATGTAGCTACCTTCGTCCTGGGTAACACGAGAACCAAAGTGGTATATGTCGACAGTCGAAGTGAACTAGTAAATGAATAAACAAGAATTATGAAGCCGACTTAAATTACAATCCCAAGCATGTTGCACGACGAAGAGAAAATGAGAAAGGGGCAAGCGGTATGTACGGTCTTATGCTACCAGAGCAGCTAACCTTCGAAGGTGCGGTACGTTCAGATACGCGGGCACGTAGGTTTCGAGCCCCGAAACTTCTCTTGGTAGAGGCAGCTCGTATGGGCCGACTTCCTCCGTCTCGGGAGGGAGCAGTAGGTGGTCGTTACGGTCATTAGCATTCACGCGAGATGCGACAACGCGTAAGATGTCTTGTGAGATGGGTGTCTGCGTACAAGGTTAGACACGGTCATATGCCACATAATAAGAGAAACACGTACTTCGTAGTCAGCGACATAGTAGTTCATGCACATGCGTTGTATTTGCGTGGGTGTAAGCATCCAGCACACGTCATAGATGATCTCGATGTCAGCCGCAGTAGCCTGTTGATATAGTCAACATCCGATTCTCTGAATGCTCGGCGTGTACGTACCTTCTTCAACTGAAGCAACTTAGTGGCCTGCATCAAGTGCTCGAGTTGAAGAGTGCCTTCTGGCATATCGTGTGACTTGCACCACTCTTCTATACGAGTGATGTTGTACTGAATTTGCATAGCTGTAGAGCCATGGTCAGTACCGGTCGGTAAGTTAGCAAGACAGGACACGAACCTCGCTTCCACGACGAGAAGTTACGCCGCATGAGCAAGTCGTTGAAGCTAGTCACGCCGATGAGCTTGAGCAGCTCCGTTACAACCTGTTGTACGACGGATTCCTCCATGTAGTAGCTCTTCAGACTTCTCCAAACCTTGTTGAGCAGGTTCAGGATGTCGTCCATACTGTACGCAGGCTGTTGGTTGGAGCTCATTAGACGGTTGAAGAATCGTCCTCCGCCGTCCGTCGTGGTGAAGCCCGGTAATGACTGGCTCTCTATCAACGCGGGTATGACCATCTTGCCGAGGCGTTTCTTGGTCTCAGACATCCAGGTGTGGTAGATGTTGTATTCGAGACTATCAAGATCGTGCTTGACGACGGTGACTAGCCGTTCGTAGTCTTCCCACTCGAATGGTCTGACAGCGTTCTCTTCTCCAGGGCCGATGCCTTGAAGCATGTCGCTTTCAGCAACGCAGATGAAGGAAAGCATCTCGTGTACGTTAGACAGCCAGAAGATGCCGGGGATGATTGCGTCCTCGCCATTGAAAGACTGTAATTCTGTTAGCACAAAGAATATCAAACCTAAGTACAGTACATACCATGACATGAGACTGAATGGTCTGCATGACATTAGCGAGGAAGCGCTCGCTCTCTTGGATTAAGCCGTACTTCCACATCTCGTTCGTGATCAAGCTAATGAGGTTAGCAGGGAACAAGATCTCCTTGACCACTGGCGTGTTCGTGGTGCTGGGTGCGGGGATTTTAAGACCACGAATGAGTCCATCGAGCACATCTTCGTCCAGGTGCTTGATGTCCTGCATGAGACGAATCTTCTCCTCAGCTGGATCGTCGTAGATGTCGGCGAGGCCATTTGGTGCGCGGAAGCGTGGCATCGAGTCGTCTGCATTGAATGCGACAGACACTGCACGCGGGTTCGTAGCCTGGTTTTTCTTGGCCATCATCATGAGCTCGTCCACCGATGTACGGTTATCCGCAGGGCTGAATGCGTATACGCCCGCTGAACTGTGCCGGCGCTGATGAGAGCGGCCGTTCGCCACAACGCTGTTGCCGTTCGCGGCGCCCGCGCTTTGAGGGTCCTGTAGCCGCAGGTTAGGCGCAAATGTTGGCGAGTTGGGCTGGTCGGACCGTCCGCGGGTGAGGACGTTGAGGGCATTCGCGCGGTTGAGCTGCTCACGCAGACTGCTGACTTCATTCTTGAGCGTAAGGATGATCGAGCTGTCGTCCGTAGTGTGCACAGGGGTCGTATCAATGATCTTCTGTTGCGACTCGAGTTGTCCACTTTGGCGGATGACATCCTCGGTGAGTTTCAGGATGGTCTCCTCCTTCTCCGCAACCTTAGCCAGGACTTCTTCCAGCCGTCTCTCCACGTCAGCCTTCCTCTGCAGAAGCTCGTCACGTTCAGCAACTTCGGCCTGGGCGTCATTGAGGCTACTCTGCAGCTGCTTAGCCCGGGTATCCGATTCCTCGTAGCGAGTGGTCATGTTCTGCAGCTGTTGC